ATACGTTATAATATATTTACTTCCTAAAATGAATAAATAAAAAACATCAAATAAATAAAGTTAAAATTATTAAATAATTAAATTACACACTTTAATTAAAATAATATTAAATTATTATTAATATTTTATTTGATATTACATACTGTTTATTTAAAAAAATAAAAAAATAATCTATTTATTTATAATATTACAATCTATTTATAAATATGATAACAAATGTTATAAATACATTTTATTTAATTCATACTTTCTATTTTTAAAAAAAAAATTGATAAATTAAATATAATATTTTTTTTAAAATTATACTGCCTTATTTAAATTAAAAATTAATAGATTGTAAATTTAGTTTAATTTGAATTATAATAATACTCTCTATTATAAAAAAAATTAATTATAAAATTTAAACTAAAATTTTATATTACAATCGTTTTAAACTAAAAGATATGTTAATTATGCATTTATTAATAATAAATTTTGATAATATTACTAACTATTTTTAATAAAAGCTAAATAATTTAAATTAAAAATACATTATATTAAATATTACATACTAATTTCATTAAAAATTTATGGTATATTATAGATATAAAAATTTTTATTTAATAATACTTACTATTTTTAAAAATTAATTGATAAATTTAAACTAAATATATTATGTTAATTAATAATACATTCTAATTTTGATAAAAGATTTTTATATATTTAATAAAAATATTATTCTATTTAATATTACTTCACTCTATTATAAAAAATTTAATTTTAATTAAATTAATAGAGTATTAAGTAATTTATATTACTCCCTATTTATAATAAAATTTATTTATTATAATCAAAATTTTAATTACATTCTTTTTTTAAATAAATAATAGTTAATTTAAATTAAACTAAGAATATTACATTCTATTTTTAATAAAAATTAAAAGTTTATAAATAAATATGAAAATGTATGTAACAATACAAACTATTTTATATAAATTTAATAAATTTTAATTAAAAAATAATTTTATTAAATTATATTTACCATCTATAATTAATAAAAATTAAAAAAAATTAATATTAATAATTTCTCATTTAACATTACAAACTATTTTTTTAAATTCAAAAATTAATAAATTTTAACTAAATATTCTATTAATTATAAAATTACATACTATTTTTTTTTTAAAAAAAAATATATTTATATTAAAACGCTATTTAAAGAAATATTACAGACTATTTTTAATAAAAATTGTTAAAATTATAACTATTTTATTTAATATAACTAACTATTTTTAATAAATAAATAAAATATTTAAATTTAAAAATTCTATTTTTTTATTATTACTTCCTTTTTTTAAATAAAATATATATATATTATTATTTATAAAAAGTTTATTTCATTTTACATTCTATTTTAAATAAAAATTAATAAATTTTAACTAATAATACTATTTTATTAAATATTACATCCTTTTTACAACATTAAATTTGTGTTTAAAATTATATTATTTTTATTACAATTCCCTATTTTTATAAAATAATTGATAAATTAAATTAAAAATGCTATTTATTTAATATTATTACAAACTATTTTTAATTTAAATTTTTTTAATTTGAAATAATTATTAAATTATATTCAATATTACTGACTATTTTTTAAAAAAATATAGATATGTTTATTTTAAAAACTCTATTTAATTAAATATTACAGGCTATTTTAATAAAATATTTAAATAACTATAATTACTATTTTATTAATATTACCATCTATTTTTGATAAATAATTAATAAATTTAATTTAAAAAATACAATTTTTTAATATTACTTTCTATTTTCAATATAAATATTTATAACTACAACTTAAAATGAATTTTATATAATATTACGCTCTATTATAATTGGCAAATATATATTTTTCAACTAAAAATATATTATAATAATAATTACTTCCTTTTTTAATTAATATATTGATAAATATAAACTAAAAAAATTATTACTGACTATTTCAAATTAATATTTTATAACTTATTAAAAAAGCGGAATATATTTTAATATTACTATCTATGATAAATAAAAAATTAAAAAATTTGATCATAAATTCATTTTATTAAAATTACCCACTATATTTAATATAAAATATAGATAATTTTTCTTAAAATATAAATTTTAATGTCTATATTTACTTGCTTTTTTAAAAAGTATTAATTATTAAATTAAATAATTATATTAATTATTTTTACTTCCTTTTGTTTTTGTTTTTGCTTTATATTTGACATTTTTATATAATTACACACTTTTTATTTTATTTTATTATTTATATTAATATTAATAATATACTTTATGAATCTTAAATATTATTATTTTTAATTAATTTATTTATTATTATTTATTTTTTATTACTCTCTATAAAAATTTATTAAATTTTTTATATATTATTATTATATATATTTAAAATTATATTATTTTTCAATAATCAATATTACGCACTAATATTTTTATTTATGTTTTTAATAATTGTTTTTAATTTTACAAGCTTTTTTTAATTAATTTAAATATTTTTTTTATTATTATTTTTTTACCAACTATAAATATAAATTATGTATTTATTTAAATTATTTATTTTACACACTTAATTTTAAATAAAATTATATTTTAATTTTTTTTCATTATATTTACTATCTTTTCATATTATTAATTATAATTTTTATAAAATTATTACATCCTTTTTTTTTAAAAAAAAAATATTTTTATTTTTTGATAACAAACAATTTACTCCCTTTAAAATTAAATTAATTTTATTTTTTAAATGATTAAACTCTGATTATTTATTTACATACTATATATTTATTTTTGTTTAATTAATATACAAATAAATATTTACTTTCTATTTATTATAAAAATTCATTTATTTATATTAAAATAAAAATTTATATTATTTATGTATTACACACTATATTATAAAAAGTTAATTTCAAATTTAATTTAAATTTTATAAAAATATATTTTACATCCTTTTATTTATAATTATATAATTAGAAATTTATTTTTATAATAAAAATATTTTTTTTATAACCTAAAATGCAACAAAAAATATGTATAAAAGGCAATAATATATTAAATATCATTTTTACACACTATATTAAATAAAAAATAAAATATAGTATTAATAATTTATATAATTTTTTTTCTTTTATAATATTATATATATGTTTCTTAAAAAAGTATATAAATTTTATTTAATTATTATATTACTATAAAATTACTTGGCATTAAAATTAATTTAGCTATAAAATAATAATAAGAACCATTAATTAAATATAAATCTAAAAGTTAAAATTTTTTAAAAATTTCATTAAAAAAATATTATTATTTGCCTTTGACATTGAATATTTCTATATTATATATATTTTTTTTTTAAAAGTAAATAATTTATATATATTAAATATAAATAAAAAAATAAAATAATCAATTAAAAAAAAAAAAATTAAAAATATATATAAAAGAATATTATATTATAGTATTTTTATAACAAATATTATTATAAAATTTAAAAATATATATATTTTTATTAATCTAAATTAAAACAATTTAATTTCCAAAAAAATAATAAATAAGATTATTAGAAAATTTTAAAAACATATTATATAAACATAATATGCAATATAATTTTAATAACATATATTTAAATTTCATTAATATTAAAAAAATATTTTTTTATTAATAAATGATAATAAAAAATAAAAATATATTTAATATATTGTGTCTATTTTATATATTTTATATTTTTTATAAATAATTATTATAATTTTACATGTGATTTATCTTTTTTTTTTTTTATTATTGGATAAAAATAATTAAAAAAATATATATAATATAAACTGAATATTATAGCAAATTATTATGATTATTTTAAAAAATTAATTTAAGGATTAAAAATGAAGTTATAAAAATCTAAATATATTTAGTTATTTATTATGATTTGTAATAATAATATTTAATCCGCATATAAATAAATGAAGAAAAAGTCTTTAATAATAATTAAATTTTTATATAAAGTCTTTAATATCTTTTTTTATAAGGAAAATATAATTTATATATTAATAATAATAATAATAAAAATAATAAAAATAATAATAATAATAATAATAATAATAATAATAATAATAAAAATAATAATAATAATAATAATAATAAGGACCTTTAAATAATACTCTTTTAGATTTATAATTATTTTAGAATATATAAGTATATATGCTACTTAATAAATCTAAATGTCTATAGACTAATTTTATTACCAATTTATCAGTATTTTTACTCAAGTAAGCCTTAGCCATGAAAAATTTTTTTAATAATATTATTTACTGGCTATCTTTTATTATATTATTTGCTATTCAATACATTTTTAATCTAATAAGTACGTTATCAATATGTGTTTAAAAATGTGGTAAAAATTTATAAATATTTTGAGATTTTAGAAAAAAAAATGTTAATTTTAATGTCAGTCAAAATAATTTCTTATTAAGAAGAAAAAATTAATATTCATTTAATTAAAAATTTGATTTCGTATTATATTTATTATTGAAATCAAAAAAAATAAAGGCATAAAAGTTATAATATAGTAATTAATAAATATAATAAATATTAAACTTAAATAATTTTTTTTAAGTAAAATAGGATCGAACAATAGTAAATAAATAAAATATTATTAAAATAAAAATATTTTAAACCGCTTAATTCAGCTTTTACATTATGAAATATAATTTCAGGAATTCAAATAGAATCTATTGGAAGAAGTATTCTCTTAAGTATTTTTTTTTAAATATATAATCAATAATGTGAGATAATATTGATGAAATATTTACACAAATAAAGGTGGAAATTATTTATTAAGATAAATATCCAATTAAAAAGATATAATTAGAACAAAGTTAATAAAAATATAAAATGGTTGCATTAAAAATAATGAAATTTACTTATTATATAAAAATTATATTTAATTTTTATTAAAAAATTAAATAAAAAATAAAGACTTTATAATTTTGTTTAAGCAATTTAAATTATTATCAATTGTGTATTTGTCTCAGAATAAAATAATCATTAAAAAAAAATATTTTATATATAATCTTAAAAAATTATACAATAAATATTTTTTTAATTTTTAATTAATAGAATTTTATATTTATTTATAATTATAAATAGTTTAATATATTATTTTATATTTATATAAATATAATTAATAATAATTATTATTTTATATTGAAAACATAAATAAAGCATTTCATAAATTTTAATTTATATATTTTTTTTATTTTTAAATATATAAATAATGATTATATAAATTAAATTAATATTTTTTTTATTCCTTTTTTATGTAAATAAAGTAAAATATATATTTAAAATAATTATATTAATGCTAAAATTTATGATAATAAAATATTTTTTTATTTTATATCAATAAATTATTTTTTTTTTTCATAATTATATTATTAATTTTTTTTCTTTATTTAATTTTAGATTAGGTTATATAAAATTTATAATATAATCACATAAATTATATTATAATATTTTTAAAAATAAAATATTATATTTAGATAGAAAATTAATATTTTTAAAATTTTTTTTTAAAAAAAAATATGTATTAATTTAAATAAAATTAATTTTATTTGGTTAAAACTAGTTTTTCTTTATATATTGTTTTAAATTAATTGAACATAATAAATGTTTATAATTATAATATATTTTTATTATATAAATAAAAAATATTAATATATTTAATTTTTTTTTTATTATTATTTTATAAATACCCTCTATTATATATAAATAATAAATAAATTATTTTGAATATTGGTATTTGATATATTATTATAGACTATTTTATATTAATTTTAACTAAAAATTAATTTTATTTGATATTAAACTCTATATTAATAATAAATAAATAAATGTAATCTAAAATTTTTAATATATTTAAAATTACTTCCTATTTTTAATGATAAATATATAAAACTTCAAATCAAAAATAGAATTTTATTTTATTATTACACTCTATTTTTAATAAAAAATCAATTAAACAAATCTAAAAAATGCTAATTAAAAATACATTTTACATCTTTTTTTTGAATAATAGATATATACTTATACTTATATATTTATTTTCAAAATAAAAATATTTTTTCACAAAAAATTTTTTATAGAAGACAAAAATAAAATAAAAATCATTTTTACAAAGTATTAAAAATAATATTTTTATAAATTATTTTTTTAATTTGATTGTTTTTTTTTATAAAATATTTATATATATATTTCTTAAAAAAGTATATGGACTTTATTTAACTATTATATGTATATATAAATACATAAGAATAGAACTAATATAGATATGAATAAATAATAAGAAAAAGTGATAAACTGTATATCTTAAAGTCAATTTTTAATTAAAAAAAATGATAAATTATTTTATTATTTTATATTTGACATTTAAAATTAATTGTATCTTTTTTTTAAAAAAAATAAAAAATATAAATATATTTAATATATATACAAAATAAAAATAATTTGAAAGAAAATAATTTAAAAAAATAAACAAAAATATTAATTATATATGATAATATAGTTAATAATAATAATATATAAAAATTATATATAACTAAATAAATTTATATTTTTTTATTAAATATTTAAAAATTAAATTAAATAAAAAAATATAGTGAATTATTATATAAATTTTAAAATTATATAATTTATATTTTAAAAAAATATATATTTTTTAATAATATATAAATATATTTTATAAAAAATTAAAGTGTATTTATACATTTTTTAATAAATATATTAAATATAAAATATTTAAAAAATTTAATGACTATATAAAAGAAATAATAAAATTATTAAAATTATAGTTTTTTAAAAAATATTTAAGACAATTACAATATTTTATCATATTTTTTAATAAATATGTTAATTTAAAATATAAATTATATTTAAAGAACATATTATTTATTTATTAATATAATTATAGTTTAATAAAAATATTAAACATATAATATTGCAAAAAAATATATAATTATATATATAATAAAACATATATATATGTATATATGTATATATATATATATATATTTTATATATATATATCAATTAAATTTTTTAATTTATTTATTTTAATTTTTAATTAAATTTATTTCAAATAATTTTATTTATTATTTATTAACTATAAAATTTCTTATTATTAAAAAAATTAATATTATTTTTATTTAATCAAATATAGTATTAATTTATTAATGATTTTAAAA